GTGAGCCCTGTGCAGAGTTGAGACCTGCTATTGTTGAGTGGCAGCAAATGAGAAATATCATGTATTGCGGCCTTCTCCTATTCATCAACTCAAACCTCATTTTTCTGCTTTAGCATCAACTCATTTAATGAATGTTGTTTCATTCACCACGTGGCTGAATCCTACTCTGGATTTTCCAGCAATTATTGTGTAAAAAGAGGTGCTTCGAATCATTACTATTTGATTCGGACCTATTCTAAAAAAGTCGAGGCATTTCGAATTGTTTGTTGACACGGACAAAGTCAAGGAAAACCTCTGTTCAAATCCAATAGTAGGTAAAACCGGCCGAAACCCCTGCTTTTGCCAGCATGACAGCAAGCACAGACTGAATGACCAAAGCATCGGTTGCTTCAAAAGCCCACAGGAACGGAGTTGATGCTCCCACATCCATAGCATGAGTAGTTAAAGATATCTATATCCCAGGAAAAATATAGGGAAAACCGAAACTTACTTCAGACTGCCCCTACAGACTAACACGAGTCCCTCACTCACATGCTTCCTAGTAAAGCAACTAGGAGGTCACCCAAACTAAGATTGCTCCAAGCCAAGCACGCTTAACTTTAGAGTTCTTACGATTGAGCCACCGAAAAGGAAGGTGCACCTTGTTGCCATTAAGTAGGGAGTGCTTAATCTTATTAAATAATTAATATAAATTAAATTATAATTAATAATAATTAATATATATAATTAATTAATATTATTAAATAATTAACATTAAAGAATTAATTATTAATCTACTTAACAATTAATTAATTAATTAATATCAATTAAATAAATAATTAACACTTAATTATTTACTAACTTAATATAATATTATTCTAAAGCATTTCTCTCGTATAACCTATAGTTGTAATGTACATCTTATGCACATTATTTTTAAACTATAGTTTTAATATGAATCTTATTCATATTTATTTTTATATTTGAATCTGATTCAAATAATTTTTCTCGTAATATATAGTTTCAATTTAGAATTAACCATATACTATAATGTATCAATATACATACATATATCCTTGGAGCAATTTGAACATTTCAAACTCTTCCAAAAAACTTAATCCTCGCTTTACATATTGTGAGCTAGCAAGAGGACCTAATGGAACTACAAATCAGAAGCTCCAACGATATGAGATTAATCGGTCAAACTCATTAATCGAGTTAATCAACATTCGTTAGCTGCGGGTAACTCCACTAAAGACCTGCAGCTGCATTCTTCTCACTACAGAATATTTTCATGTCCACGGATATACAACCATTAATGACATGTCAATCCTTCAAGATTGCTCGTAACTCAAGCTGGGTCAAATTACCGTTTTACCCCTAAGTTACATCTTACTCTTTAAATACCACTGCTCCTCTAATGAACAACCCGGTTATGGTCCAACCAATAACTGGAAGTCCCTCTTGGGCCAGTGAGAGGGTGAGGCCGTTCTTCAAGTTTCGGAGTCAGCATTTAAGAAAACACTCATTTACTCCACTAAAGTCGGAGATGAGTGAATTTCATCTTGTCGTATCCATAGTGTTGCCATGATAAGGTACCCAACTTTATCCATATACTATAGACCTTTTAGGTTATTATCCACTTGTATATTGATGGTATATCAAATATATATCCAGTATATATACTGTCCCGGTTATATGAAAATAACCTTAGATGTTTTACTAAAAGCCACCTAAAAAGTCTCGTTCGTACTAGAGAACTAAACCACTAGAGATACAAACTATGACAACTCTCACCACGCTTCCATTGTGCCACTCTGAATAATAACACTTACAAAAAAACTTACACTAAACAAACCAAACAACACTAAAGTTCTAACGAAACTCAAATTCTTCTCAGTTAATAATTTAATAACAATCTAACCTTAAAAAGTTCTCAATGAAATCTTCACTTTTCATAAACCATCCAATACATGAATTTACTTTCTCAAATAGCAGCGAAGCAAAAGCTAACTTAAGTTCAACTTGAACAAATGTATTATACTGATAAATGTCCTCAATAGATTACATCACCACAATTTCAAGTAGCTAAACAAAATTAATGTTCTCAAGAATAACGAACTGTCAATCCTAAAACATTCCGTAAATAAGGAACTTAACAAACTAATGTATTAATCTAATAACAGACTCAGCTACAAATAAACAACTATAACTATCCTATGCAAAGTGAAACTTAACAACACAATGTTAAATGGTCTCTCTAGTCAAGTCTCCTCCTCGCCATCATCATTCCAACTTCAAAGAGTTAGCTCGATACCTGCAAAACTGGAGGGAGAAAAAGAGGGATGAGTACAACCACGGTACCTAGTAAGCAGCCCTTATCTGAAGGGTCACGCACAAACAACATGCTTATCAAGGAAACAACGAGTCATGCTTATCAAAGAATCAACACGTGATGCTTATCATTAGTCTCAAGCCTTAAATGAAAGAAACATATTACAAGAAGCAGTTTATTCATAAGTTTAACTAAACATGTACCATACATGTCAAATTCATCCTCACATCTTAACTCACTAGTTCTCTTTCTTGATTCCTCCAAGACTTGCCCCTCCAAGATTTATCTCATAAGAATGCAACATATGTTATACACGAAACATATGCCACTATCGTCTAGGCATGGCCATCCAACATCACAAGAACACCTTTCTCTCAACATTCATCATGCTTTACCACCACAGCGTATATAATTCATAAAAGAGACGTAGCTTATCCAGAAAACACATCCAACACTCTAAAAAGTTTCATAGTAATCAGAATACAACCAATAAGTATAATGTAGTACCAGAAATTATGCAACGACATTCATAGGCACACAAACAAACATTTTGTTCATAGCAACACACAACAAACAATCGCTTCAGTAAGGAACTACTTACCCACTCCCAGGGTTCCTAATTCTTCGGTTGATTTGACACCTAGGCATTCAAATTAAAAAACAGCATGTCAAGAAGGCAGTTCCAGTCACAAAAATCAGTTATAAGGAGGGTTCGAAAGGTCCGTTACCATAAAAATGATTTCTTTTGAGTGTGGGTAACTCATATCTAACTCGAGCAAGGGTGGGTAAAGTAGATCGGGTTTCAAACAGGTGTGGGTAGGTGCCGAACATCACAAAAACGCAGCTGTCTGTGTTTTGTAGA